TCAAGACTGCCCAAGCTCATCGGGCCCAGTGTGGGGGTCTCAGTGTCTTGGGGGTCTCCATCTGCAGGACCAAGGCAAGTCCCCGGGGCCATGAGGCGGGTGCCAGGCTCCAGCTGCTGGGCACGTCCAGAGCAGAAGCTGTGCTTCTGGACTTGGGTATCCTCCCGGGCCCCCACCCAGGCCTCCCTTCCAGAGAAGCACCTTATTTGTGCCTGTCTCATAACACCCAGGTTGATAGGAAGGAGCAGAAGTGAGGCATAGCCACCCCCCAGAGCACTTGTGCCCTCGCTGGGCTTGGCACAGGTACGAGTGTACTTCAAAAGTTCACGAAAAGATCATATTACCTTTTAATTCTTTTTTCCATGAATCTTTTGAAGCACCCCCATATTTCTGAGGCATCTTAGCATACTGTTTAATTTAAGACAGAGACCACCAAGAGGCGCTCCCCACTTGTTACAGCTTTAGTACCTGGAGCCCCAGACCACAGGGTGACAGCTTTTTGGATGGTGGTGGAGGTAGGGGGCATATGATAAATCATCCCAACAGGACATTTTTAACAGTAAAAAGAGGCCCTGCTGATAAGCATGGTGCCACAGAAGATGTGACTCTATTCTTGGGGGCTGCTTCTTCATAGAGGTGATCTCTGTCTCAGGCTGGAGCCCATCAGTAAACCCCACATCCCCACACCAGCTCAGCCGGCCAGGAGCCAGCTGAGGGGTCTTCCTGCAGCTGAAGGAGCTCAATCCAGTCTCCTGCACAGGGGTGGGGATGAGAACGACAACACAGAAAGGCCACGCTGCAAAGCGTCTGAGATCTCAGCCCCAAATGCAACCCCTCACAAGACACATCGGAATCCCGGAGCATCTCNCTTCTTCCCTGGGATGTCTGGTTTGGATCCTAAACTCTCTTTTCAACAAACCTTCCACGTGACTCTGATGATTATCAAAACTTAGAGAAAACTGTTGTAATTCAAGTGTTTGTTTTAATGTTTTAGATCCAAGTATCTATTTCATAATGAACTTGAAATCCAGGCTGTAGTTTAAAACTAAGCAGTTGTCCCCCTTTCAGGCATTTGGAAAGCAAAAACGTTTCATGGGAAGAGTGGGAGGGTGCCTGAGGGTCGACTGAGTTTGAACTTGAAAGGTGATAACTGAGCAGTGTCTTCAGGGAGAGCTCACTTGTCCCTGTCACTTGAGTCCAGGCTCTGCCATCAAGACTGCCCAAGCTCATCAGGCCCAGTGTGGGGGTCTCAGTGTCTTGGGGGTCTCCATCTGCAGGACCAACGCAAGTCCCCGGGGCCATGAGGCGGGTGCCAGGCTCCAGCTGCTGGGCACGTCCAGAGCAGATGCTGTGCTTCTGGACTTGGGTATCCTCCCAGGCCCCCACCCAGGCCTCCCTTCCAGAGAAGCACCTTATTTGTGCCTGTCTCATAACACCCAGGTTGATAGGAAGGAGCAGAAGTGAGGCATAGCCACCCCCCAGAGCACTTGTGCCCTCGCTGGGCTTGGCACAGGTACGAGTGTACTTCAAAAGTTCACGAAAAGATCATATTACCTTTTAATTCTTTTTTCCATGAATCTTTTGAAGCACCCCCATATTTCTGAGGCATCTTAGCATACTGTTTAATTTAAGACAGAGACCACCAAGAGGCGCTCCCCACTTGTTACAGCTTTAGTACCTGGAGCCCCAGACCACAGGGTGACAGCTTTTTGGATGGTGGTGGAGGTAGGGGGCATATGATAAATCATCCCAACAGGACATTTTTAACAGTAAAAAGAGGCATATGATAAATCATCCCAACAGGACATTTTTAACAGTAAAAAACACTGATAAGCATGGTGCCACAGAAGATGTGACTCTTCTTGGGGGCTGCTTCTTCATAGAGGTGATCTCTGTCTCAGGCTGGAGCCCATCAGTAAACCTCACATCCCCACACCAGCTCAGCCGGCCAGGAGCCAGCTGAGGGGTCTTCCTGCAGCTGAAGGAGCTCAACCCAGTCTCCTGCACAGGGGTGGGGATGAGAACGACACTTAACACAGAAAGGCCACGCTGCAAAGCATCTGAGATCTCAGCCCCAAATGCAACCCCTCACAAGACACATCGGAATCCCGGAGCATCTCAGCCTCACCCTGGGAGATACTGGGGTGGGCTCAGGAAGCTGGGTCATTTAAAAGGATGCAGGGTTTCTGAAGCTCAGCCGGGTCGAGCCGCCAGAGTTAACAGTCTTCCAGGAACCTGCCAATTTCAAAACTGTCACCACTGAGGGCCAGGAGGTGGCGCTGTGGGGCAACAGAAAATACAAGGCAGAAAATGCTGGTCCTTGAAACCCAGCCCCAGCAGAGGTGGGTCTCAGTACCCCCTGGAGTGATGCCCCAGGGACCGCGTTCCCACCTGCTGGACATCTGTAAATACAACACATTAAGACAAGATGCAAAAACAGGGAAAGTTGTGCCTTTAAAAAAAAAAATTAAACTTAAAAAAATATTGAAGTTAATGTGTTCAACCCTGGCCTGTCCAGGGCCTAATGCAGACCTTGCTCAGCTTGTGGGTGGGCCACTGGGGGTCTTCCCTGAGGTTCCGTCAGAGTGAAGGGTTTTTTTTCCCAAGGCCTTCCGTGACAAGCCAGACACCAGGAAGGGAAAGGAAACCACTGGGCTGGTCCTCAGGCACGTGGCCCTCCCCTTGGAGAACACCTGGTCTCTCAGCACCTTCGCTTTGGCTGTAGGTTTGCCTGACAATGAGTAGCTCACCCTACATGGACAGTAGGTCCTTTGTGCTCAGATGGCTTTATTTTTGTTTTCTCTCTATCAAGCATAGTTTTAAAAAAAATCTCTGTTCTGTGTTAAGAACATGGAAAATCCTCTGGATTTTTTTTTGTCGTGACTTGATCTGATAGATAGGTTGTATAGCTCAAACCATGTCCCAAGAGTAGAGCGATGTAAGGGCCATACCTAAAAGGACCTTGGTGATCCTGGGGGACTTCACTGTTCACGGTCATCGTGGGGGCAGGGGACAACACCCTGATGCGTCAGCCTCGCAGGCTGCATTCCCGCCATGCAGGTAGAGTTCACGTCTCAGTGTCTCTGTCTGGTGATGTGGGATGAGTTTCTTTAAGACAGTCACTGTCCAGGGGCAATGAAAACCAGGTCTGCTTTCTGGCTTTGTCAGCGGAGCATCGCCAACTCACCTCTGCTGAGTTTATAAAAACAAGCTGTCAGAGCGCAGACACAAGCAACCAGGCCTCCTTTAAAACTCTTCACAGTTTTCGTCTTTAAGAGAAGGATTTCAGCAAATAATAAATCAGGACATCTCCCCCATATCTCCATCCACTGGCCAGACTGAAGGCTCCCAGGCCCATGTTGCCCAAGGCCCATTGAGGCAGGGCAGGTGCTGGGTCCCCTTGGTACGCCCCAGTGTCCTCCCAGACGTTCCGAAGTAGGAACAAAGCATGAACAGCGAGGCCAGCGTCAGGCAGGACAAGTAGAGAAAAGCGCAGCTCGTAAGCTGATCTCAGCATTTTTCCTAAAGTCTTTCTTTCAGACATCCAGTTTTTTCACCTGGTTCATTATTTCTATCTCTGCATTATAAATGGAAAACCAGACAATGGACTAATTTTCCAAACACATGAAAAGATCACTGTAGGGTTAGGACAAAGCCTGAGAACCCAGAGCAGCCTGAGGCTCGGCTCACTTTGGGATTTTAAACTGGTGCAAAACTTATCCAGGCACGTGTGCGGTGCCCGTGATGGATGAGCCAGGAGGACAGTGGCTGCGCGGTGAGGTCCACGTCACGGGGAGTCCAGCGGAATCGGTGCATTCACTGAACACCTGCCAGTGCTGGGTCCTGGGCTGAGCTGGGGATAGGGGCATGGGAGAGGCGGGCCCTGGGGTCCCCACCCAGGGACAGTCAGTGTGGCCAGTCCAACGAGTGTGGACTCTTGTGCCTCTGGGTCTAAAATCAGCAAGGGAGGAGCTTCCTGCAAAGGGGCCCTGGGCCCAAGAGACAAGGACAGACCCTGTGTGGACAGCACGTGGATTAGTCAAAGAAGTCAGGAAACAGGAGCCACATGGTAACATCGCACAAGGAGCTGGTTAAAATGGTGTTTAACAAGAAAGTGAAAAGGGAAACTGAGGTATATCAGAGATAATAATGGTAGGGAACACCTGTGCCCCTGCCTCCCCGCCTCAGGCTGGGGAGCAAATGGCAGAGGCTGGGACAAGTAGAAACACGCAGCTCAAAGGAGGCCACGCAGAGGTGGGACCCAGCTCTGAGGAGGGGTAGTGCCAGCTGGGGCTCATGTCTCAGGGCCGCTATGAGGCTGGAGCTCGTGTCTCAGGGCCGCTATGAGGCTGGAGCTCGTGTCTCAGGGCCGCTATGAGGCTGGAGCAGCTTTCAGGGGGACAGGCCCCTGGGGATGGAAGTGACAGGAAGGAGCACGTTCCTTCTCCCTCCTCCTCCCATGCCCACCAGGGGCAGGCAAGGCCTTCAGGATCAGCGGGCAGAGCAGACAAGCGCTTCGCAGAGTCCCAGCTCCGCGTCCCAGAGCAGAGTGGGGAGATGGGTCTGCAGCTGGAGACTCGGGCTGAAAATCAGCCCCGCACAAGCAGTCCTGTGTTGCTGTGCAGCTGACAGCGCACCCTCAAATGCTGCACATGTCCTGCTTGTTCACACCTGGGACCCCAAGGTGTAGATGGCAAGGGGCGGGCCACAGAGCAAGCGTGTCCAGTGGCAGCAAGACCTGGCTGAGCCCAGAGCACCTGAGCTCCACAGAGCAAGCTGTGCGCTCTGTGGCCCCTGACATGGGAAGGCAGATGGCTCCTGGGCCTTCCAGTTCTAAAACCCTGGGGTTTGTTTACTGGATCACTCTCTGCAGTGACCTAAGGAGACAGAGCACAGGCCAGGCCAGTGTGAATGGAGAAAAGAGGGGAAAACAGTGTAGTGTACAGGGAGGCCAGGCCTGGGGCCTCGGGGTAAGGAACACACCCTGCAGGGCAGAGAAAGGAGAGGGGAGCAGCAGGGCTCAGCCTCAGCTCCCTGCCAGCTGTGCTGGGCCAGACCTGACAGTATGCAAATGGTATGAGACTAGGTGAGGTGGTGTGTTTGGGAAAATGTGGCTTAGCTCTAGAGCTCAGTCACCCACAACAACTCCAGTGTCTTCAGACTGCCCAAGAAGCCGTCAATCAATGTAGGGTGGATGCCTGCAGATGTGGGTGGAAGCTGCTAGTGAAACCGACGCAGAGTCCTAGTTTTATGCTGTAATTTGGACCAGCTCTGACGAGTGTTTGGATAGGTCTTTGAAAGGCCAGCAGAGGGCCTTGCCTGGATGTTTCTCAGTAGTTGGATGGATTGATTGGGGGCGGAGAGTAGTGAGAATGGATGGATGGGTAGATGAATGCAAGGATAGATGAATGGCTAGGCGGTGAGATGGATGGATGAGTAGACGGGTGGGTGGATGGGTGGATGAGTAGATCAGTGGGTGGGTGGATAGATGAATGGATAGATGGATGGCTAGGCAGTCAGATGGATGGATGGATGGATGGATGGATGGATGGATGGATGGATGAGTAGACGGGTGGGTGGATGGGTGGATGAGTAGATCAGTGGGTGGGTGGATAGATGAATGGATAGATGGATGGCTAGGCAGTCAGATGGATGGATGGATGGATGGATGGATGGATGGATGGATGGATGGATGGATGGATGGATGGATGGATGGATGGATGGATGGATGGATGGATGGATGGATGGATGGATGGATGGATGGATGGATGGATGGATGGATGGATGGATGGATGGATGGATGGATGGATGGATGGATGGATGGATGGATGGATGGATGGATGGATGGATGGATGGATGGATGGATGGATGGATGGATGGATGGATGGATGGATGGATGGATGGATGGATGGATGGATGGATGGATGGATGGATGGATGGATGGATGGATGGATGGATGGATGGATGGATGGATGGATGGATGGATGGATGGATGGATGGATGGATGGATGGATGGATGGATGGATGGATGGATGGATGGATGGATGGATGGATGGATGGATGGATGGATGGATGGATGGATGGATGGATGGATGGATGGATGGATGGATGGATGGATGGATGGATGGATGGATGGATGGATGGATGGATGGATGGATGGATGGATGGATGGATGGATGGATGGATGGATGGATGGATGGATGGATGGATGGATGGATGGATGGATGGATGGATGGATGGATGGATGGATGGATGGATGGATGGATGGATGGATGGATGGATGGATGGATGGATGGATGGATGGATGGATGGATGGATGGATGGATGGATGGATGGATGGATGGATGGATGGATGGATGGATGGATGGATGGATGGATGGATGGATGGATGGATGGATATGGATGGATGGATGGATGGATGGATGGATGGATGGATGGATGGATGGATGGATGAGTAGATCAGTGGGTGGGTGGATGGATGAATGGGTAGATGGATGGATGGAAGGACAGATGGGATGGGTGGATGAATAGATGAATGCATAGATGGGTGGATGGATGGACAGTTGACTCAGGCAGATGGATGGATGGATGGATAGATAGATGGGTGCATAGACAGATGGATAGATATATGGAGGATGGATGGATGGATGGGTGGTCTGCTGGGTGGATGGATCAATGGGTAGATGAATGGGTGAGTGGATAAATAGAAAAAGGAAGGGAGGGAGAGAGCACAGGAGGGATGGAGGGAGGGATTGGCAAGTGGATGGATGGGTGGATGGACAGACAAATGGTTTGCTCCAGACTGTCTCTCCCTGGCTGGAGTCATGCAGGTGTCTATTGCAGGTGGGCCTGAGCCAAGACCTGGAGAGGGAAATGGGGACAGCGAGCAGACAGATGATGATGGAGAACCAGACGCAGAAGCCCAGGCCCAGGCCTGTGGCAACAAGGTGAGTCCTTTCCAGCCACGCCGCCCCTCCCCTAGCCACCTGCCCTTCCTCAGCCGCGCCCACACGCACCTCAGGTTCTGATTTCCTGAAATCACAGTGCTCCCTCCGTGACTCCATTAGCTCCTGCAGCAGGAGCACAGAGAACCTGGCTGCCTTCCCCAGGCCGCGACAGTCTGTGGCCCTGAGCAGCGGACAGGAAGGGCACTCCCAGCATCAGAAACCCCAGAGCAAGCAGTGGCTGACAGAGCCTGCCGGGGACCAGCCATCCGGCCAGAGCCCCAGGGGCACAGCAGTGTCGTGAGCACAGGGCGTGTGTAGGGCAGATGGGGTCCGGAGGGCATGGGGGTCCTAAGGGCCTTCTTCTCTTGCAGAGGACAGAGCCTGAGGGGAACTTTTTGCTTTTGTTTGTCGCCAGCCACGAGCCTCTGTCTTTATTGGTGTTTGTTTTTGTTTTCACTTATATCTTAACTCATTCTTGGTGGTAGGGGCACTAAGGTAATCTGGGACTCTGGGTGGGATGCTGGCAGGAGCAGCGTCTGGGGGAGAGGTGGAGGCGGCCGAGCGTGGGTCTGGGCTCAGACACTCGGCCGGGGTGGGCCTGTGAGACCAGCACGCGCCAGGTCTGCACCGCTGCTGCAGGGAACGTAGCCGTTTTCTGCGTGAGAAAACGTAATGCACGCAGTTTCCTCAGCTCGCAGAAAACCTTCCAGTGCCTGGAGCGCATGTCCCCTACAGGACAGAAAAGTTTAAAGGATCAAAAGAATTTCTTTTTTTTTTTTTCAAAAGATGACTGGTAAGGGGATCTTAACCCTTGGCTTGGTGTTGTCA